ATACTGCAAGGATGTATTTACAAGTAGATCAAACATTGGAAGACATTTTCTTAAAGAGCTTATCGTAAAATGCATCTGGGAATCAACTCATTTTGAAAGTGATCTTTTTAATTTTTCTTTTTCTGCATAATTTCTAAGTAAAGTACATAAGATCAAGCTTGTGAAAATACATATGCTTTATTTACAACTGGTAAGGGGGTGCATCCTTTTTTAAAAAAAATATTTACTTCATTGGAAATTTTCCAATCAGATGAATTTTTGATGACTCAAATTCAATGCAACATGATTTGTAATTTCAAATGATATTGAGGCCTTTTTCCTCAGATAGATTCTAAGTTCTCTGTCAAACATGCTCCAGATGTGAAGTTATGTGTTCAGTTTGGTTGCTTCTTGTTTGGGATAAGTTTCCTTTTAAACTGGTATTTTTCAAATCAGCAACTTTAAGATGTGTGGACTTCAAGTCCCAGAATTCTCCAGCCAACCATCTTAAAATCCACACACCTTAAAATTGCTGAGTCTGAGAAACATTGATGTAAAGGACAGATTTTGAATTACGATATTAGAAGATAATTAAAAAGCATCAGTGGCATAGTAACTCTGTTAAAACCAACTGTACATGTCTAACTTTTCAGTCCAAAATTCCTTTTAAGCCTAAACAAATACATTTCTTAACCTTCCAAACCAGTAAGAAATTGAAAGAAAAAACTAGAACAAAAGAATAACCTGAACCTATCCACATTTTTGCCTTATGATAAACAGAGGAGATGTGCAGATTTAATTAAACCAAACCTCTTCTGAAAATTTAAAAACAACTTTATCTGTTGCTTAGATCTGTCTCTGTTAATCTGTTATTCAAAATAAGATGAGCCAGCTAGCAGCTCATGGCAAAATTTTGTGTACAATAGAGATCTACCTATGATAGTTCTCCTCCCTTTCTGATCTACCTCAGTGTAAAACTAAATCATGTGAAGAGGTGTTAATGGACTATAATAGAGAAATCTCAAGACAGCAACTATGACTCATGGATAGGAATGCTTTGTGGCCCAGAGGTACAGCCTAATTTATTTAATTTCTTATACCTGAAGTGCCCCAGCCAGTAAAACCTACTAAAAGTTTAACCAGAACCAGAATAAATGCTACATGCTGACAGAATAGACCTAGGCATGTCTTATTCAGAGACATGCTATACCTGGAAAGTGGATACTGGACATCGTAAAAGTCCATTTTTGGCAGCATTGCTCCTAGAAAATTCTATCCTTGCCAGTTGTAGCATACATAAGTAGTCCTTGACTTACGACCACAATTGAGCCCAAAATTTATGTTGCTAAGTGAGAGGTTTGATAAGTGAATTTTGCCCCATTTTACGATTTTTCGTAAAATGTCGTACAATGTCATACAGTGAATCACTGCAGTTGTTAAATTAGTAACATGGTGGTTAAGTGAATCTGGCTTCCCCATTTGACTTTGCTTGTCAGAAGGTCACAAAATATGATCACATGACCCTGGGACCCTGCAACCATCATAAATATGAACCAGTTATCAAGCATTCAAATGTAAATCACATGACCATGGGGATTATGCAACAGTCATAAGTGTGAAAAACAGTCATAAGTCACTTTTTTCAGTGCCGTTGTAACTTTGAACTGAACGAATTGTAAGTTGAGGACTAACTGTATCTTATTTGCTGGTCAATGACCAAAATACAATGATTGACTGACATATTTCTTACACTATCTGTGGAAAATAGTTGTATAGTTTCTACATCCAGACAATTTTTGTTTGAAGCAGTGATGAGCTTTCAGGCTGATTTTGGTTTGTCTTCTGATATTTCAGGTGAATATAATTACACCACATTCTAAGATACTGCTTTTAGCAGTAAGGATTTTGCCTAATCAGCCAAGGTACAAATTTAACCCAATATTTCTTTATAGAAAAATATCTGTCAAGGGATATGTTCTTCATTTCTCAGGCACAAGCACTGCAGTTCAGAAAAGACAAGACATATCTGAGCAGTTTCAGATGTCCCACAAAATGGTTCAGAGGTTCCTAGTGTGAAAAAGCATCTCTCGCCACAATTTTCTCCCTAGGAACAAACTTTATATTTCTCAAGGTTATATATATTTACATTTCTCGCAAAAGATGCAGGGGAAGTGTTTACTTTACATTAAGAAAAACAGGTATTCCCTCTCCTGAATATGTTTTCCCTCAGCTACATTATCTGAAGATAATTTTTTGTTAGCAATCACATTTTTTTGCTGCATGCCCACAAGTATCACAGGAGCCCCGTATACAAATCACAAAGACTAAGCCAAAATCAAATAACTTATATGGTGTTTACAGGTGTTTTGTGAACTGGCCATCATCTTAAACCATCATATTTGCTTATTTTGTTTTAGGACATGGGAGTACAGAGCAAAGCTCGTTTCTTAATCCTGGCTCATGATCTAGCACATTGTTTGAATAAATTTCTGGCAAAGCACTAGGGTTGATGAGGAGACATATTAAGCTTGCCCAGGTTTTTAATCATGGTTTGCTAAAAAGGAACAAAAGTTCACAGAAATGTTAAACCAAGTAAACAAGTCACACTATGGTGTAGCACGTTATTTGAACTAAGCCAGTGTCTAGCATAGATAGCTACTACAATGAACTAGTGACAATTCTATGGCATCATAATAGCACTATCCATGATAAGTGTGTCTAAAGGTTGAATCATGGCAACTGGACCAAACTAAAGTTTGGACCGAGGTTTGGTCCAGGTGCCATGTTTCAACCTTTAGACAGCTTTGGCCTGGATGATTGAATTTTCATCGACATACCCATGATAAGTACTTTTCCTTTCACTTCTCATTACTCCACCCAAATCTCAAGAGAGGATAATGCTGCATTCTGTGGCACATAATTTAAAGTTAGTAATAAAGGATGAAGTTGCTGAAATGCTAGAGTTTCCAGCCTGTTTTCAGGCTGGTACAAACTTAGTACACCTGTTTTAAGTGAAAAACAAATGTCTTTGGTAATTTTAACATAATTTTTCACATGCATTTTCCTTTACACTTAAACAAGTGAATTGTATATGTACGGTATCCCAGTGTGATTCTTTAATTGCTTTGCCAAAATTATGAAAGTGTTATCTGTGTCACATGATTTAAAAAGAAAATGGCATTGTGTCAGTTAGTTTTTCTGGAGAATATCTACAGTACCCCATTTCAAAGATATATCAAAGATGCAAAAGGCTCCAAACCTGGATCTGTGTAAGGCATCACAGTTAATGCACAATGTTATTCAGAGTCCTTTTCAGTTTTTGATGCAATTTTGAGAAAATGGAAGTTGCCGAGTTCAGTTTACCACATAGAAATGGACTTGGATACTAGTACAGTTATACCAACGGATATCTCAGCATCATCTGTAGCAATCTACCCAACCCCATGCCCTCCAGATGTTTTGAAACCACCTTTCCTGAAACCTGCAAGCAGCAAAGCCATCCAGCTGGAGAAAGCTGAAATATAGAGTCCTATTGCTCATTAGTATTTAATCTTATTATAACATTTCTATCCACTGATGTCTTCATGTACCATTACATTATTTTAATTATACTTAATTGCAGAGTTACACAATTAAGAAAAAAATTGGAGAGGACAATCCATTGCTGTTCTACCTTTCACAGCTGCATTCCAGCTAGAAAGGCAAAGCTTAATTACAGGTGGAAATGAGCCTTATAGACAGTAAGAACATTACAGGGTTTCTAAACTCACAACAACGCAAAGAAACATTTGACAAAAAGAAACGTTTTATGACAATAAAAGTAGATAAAATGTTAAAAATTGAGGAATAATGTTTATTGCCATTCTATACTCAACAACTCTAATTCAAATAAAGTTAAAATTAAAATTAAAAAGAGTAAGACCTTGGAATTTTTTCAAAAACATTTTTCCCTAGATTTTAAGTACCTGATTTGCATTTTGAGGCTCAAAAGAGTTTTTAAAATAACAGCTTATGCTTTTAAGAATTACCGTATACTTTCTTCTGTGTTTTCTAGTTTTTTTTGAGTGGCATACTCTTGTGGTTTTGATATCAACAGAAGTGTATATATTTCATCCCTTACAGCAAAGCTATCTTTCCTCTATATCAATCCATTTTCTGTATGCAAATTATGTGGCATGCCATTATTTAAGAACTTAAAAGAAAATATATGTAGGAGGGGAAAAAAACAATTGTTCAAATGAATGCAGGATTGAAAGGTTCTAAGATTCGCTCATAACTTCAATGTACTTCAAAAAAGAATTCTATATATCAAGGTTTCATGTTGGCTGATTGTTAGGAAGTTGTCACTATCTACGTGAATTGTTCAGTTATCCTTTTCTGGCAACTGAATCTCACGAGGGACAGTAATTCCAGTACTACAATTAGAGAATTCTTGTGCTATGACTCCAGACCTATATTCTGGACAATTGGGGCCCTTCCCAATAGAACAAAATTTAAAGATGGCAAATGCAAAACAAGAGGACTTTCACCTGCTTTGTGACTGCAGTTTCTTAATATGATCAATTCCTAGCCAAGGTTACTTTTATACATTTTATATGGAACATTTTCCCAGTCCCATTTTAATTGGGCTAGAATGAATCACATTAAAAAATGATTGTCCAGAGAATTTGGTTTCTTAGAGAGAAAAATGCCATTTGAGCAGCTTTCCCTAGATTAATGAACTCTAGGGATATTGGACTTCACCTTCCAGAATTCCTATGCTAGCTGCAGTTGGGAATTGGACTGCACATCTTGAAAGGGCAAGGATCAGAGCAGAAAAATACTCAGTCCTATTTACTGCTTGGAGCTCTTCCTTCATTGCCATCTTGTTGTGCAGCTGGGAACTGATGTCAAGAAGAAAAAAGAGAAGGAGAAGGAAGGAAGGAAGAAATCTATGGGCTTTGCAAACCACCTACGTGGTGCTTATAAACAGGTTTTATTTGTTTGTTATGTAGTTTTCATGCTGGAGTGAGGCACTGAGTTTCTACAAGGGATCGCAGTTAATTGATGGTTCTTTTCTGCAAAGTTAGGAGCTGAGTTTCCTGGTACGGAGCAGTCAACAAACCTTGGCTTGTGCACCTTATACACTGGATTCTGATGATATTGGTATGTTTGTTTTGTTTTGTTTTAATTAATCCTTCCTTGGTTTCTGCACCATTTTTTTCTGGATGAATTACAGTTCTTGTAGGAACTGTTACACCATTGGTGGCTGCAGTTTCAAGACAACCTCTTCCCTGTTGTTTTATCCCACTTTTAATAATACTCGTTAACCTAACCCAGTGGTAGGCAAACTTGGCTCTTTCACACCCTGTGGACAGCTTGGCTGTCTTAGGAATTCTGGGAGTTGAAGTCCACAGGGTGTGAAAGAGCCAAGTTTGCCTACCACTGACCTAACCTATTTGTTCTATGAATGGTGCCTGCTTCCTCCTCTGAGAATCGTGTACTCTTTGCTATACATGAGTGGTAGTGAAATGACATAAAAGAACAGGTTTGGATTTTCACACTCCTAGGCAAGAGGTAAGGCAAAGAAAAGAACTGTCAACCTGCTGCAGAACTATAAACCACCTCCAGTGACACCTGGCCATTACAGAAGAAGACAGTGTAGGAGCTGGAAGACAGAGCAAGGTTGCTCCCACACAACTGAATGAGTAACATGCCTGGGTAATAACAGCATCCAAAAAGAAACTTACTTTAGCGGGTGTGGCCCAAATCTCAGGAGGCGAGGTGCACCTGTCCTTCTGGCAAAGCACCCCTGGAGAAAATGCCACAGAGAGGCTTGAAGAATATTTAGGAAAGCCAGGATTTGGAGCCCGGGGTGGGAAGGGCATAGTTTTTAAAGTTATCAAAGAATAACACACAAAAATAAGGTTAACAAATAGAAAATGGATATCAAATATAGTTTTGTCTTTGGAAACATCAGAATATTTTATTTGTAGGATCAGTTTGTTAGAAAAGATAGCTTAGTATATGGTTGATATATGCAAGTATGACCCAGTTTAAAAATCCTGTTTATTAGCTCTTTTAAATCTTTGATAGGGATAGGCTATGAGAACTGGGTTGTAAAAATCTGGTTGATCCATCAGATGGCAGCAAAGAAAATTCTAATGATCTTTACTGCCACCTCATGATCATCCAACATTTTGTAACTCAATTTGCTGGTCCTGCTTTAAGAAAATTGCCTTAAGGTAGACATTGTTAGAGGAGGAAATAGAAATTTGTTGGTCCTGTTTTAAGAAAATCCCCAAAAGGTAGCCATTTGCTAGAGGAGGAAGTAGACACTTCAGGGAAATGAAATGACATCAGAGGAGAACACCCTAATAAGACATCAGTTCAGATGTGGCTGATTTGCTATGGGGAGTTTCTATTTATATTGGATCTACAGTTAATTTGGTTTCCTCCAGAATCTGTTACTGGAAAGATTATGTCAAGATGATATACCAGTTTGTTATTTATTTGTTGGATATCACATTTTACAAATACAAACAACGTTCTCCTTTCTCCTGAACCATTGGAACTGTTTGTTGATACTTTTGCAAATCAGTGAGAGGGGAACCATACTTATTATCAGGAGACATTTTTATTAGGAACAAATTTCAGATTGCAACAGAACTGGATTGACCAAACTATATTTCATAAATCATGGAGGACCGTAGACAGGAAATGTTTGCTAGAGCACGTATCTGAGAGTTTTAAGTACAAGCTGCTTTCCTTAACATAGGTAATATGCACGATCCATGTTTGTTGTTGTTGTTAGTTGCAAAGTTGTGTCTGACTCATCACAACCCCATGGACAACTTTCCTCTAGGCCTTCCTGTCCTCTACCATCCCCCAGAGACCATTTAAGCTCACGCCGACTGCTTCAGTGACTCCATCCAGCCACCTCGTTCTCTGAATCCATGTTTAGATTTTAGTATACAATAATTCTTATATTCTTTTTTTCCCATGGGAACTTTTCTGGATCACAGTTTGGTACTACATACTTTATATATAATTGTTCCCATTAATTCAGACGATATTACTATGAGTTGAGAAATCAACTGATAATAGATAGAAGTTTGCAACTGATAACAGAGTTGTTGCATTCTCTGAAGAGGCAAATATGCAGCTGGGAAATTTTCTTGGTGTCAGCATTATTTATGGAGGTGCAGGTGGTGTTATATTCAGAAGTGCTTGATAGCTGAAAATATATCTAGAGGAAAAGATCTAGTCAATAATTGTACCTACTCAGGTTAGATTACAGTTCAGATATACCTGCCTTTGAAGACTGTTTGGAAATTCAAAATGATAAAAACACAGAGTAGCTGAAATAGTTGTAAAATCTAGATTTTCAGATTGTAGTACATCAATCCTGTACTTATGATTTCAGCAGCTGCTTAGTTATTTCTGGACCCCAGTTGGCCATTGAAGGCCTTCAGTGATATAGTATTTCTTCTTTCTGAACCTGCTAGCATAATAAGGTCAGTGTCCTATACTTGCTCTCTGGTGTCCATTAATAAATATTAAATTTTATTTTATTTATTATTGAATTTCTATACCGCCCTACTCCCGGAGGACTCAGGGCGGTGCACAGCCATGAAATAAAACACATAGATATACAAAATTTAAAATCGAATAAAATGAATTAAATAAATTTGGCTGAATTAATACCCATAATTTAAAATACCCATATTTTAAAATCCATTAAAAATTTAGAATTTACACTTAAAAGGAAGAAGATTTAGGCGAGGCCAGCTTGATGAAATAAAAGCGTCTTCAACTCGCGGCGGAAGGTGCGCAGATCCGGAATCCTCCGTATCTCTGGGGGGAGCTCATTCCAGATCGTCGGTGCCCCCACAGAGAAGGCTCTCCCCCCTAGGGGCCGACAGCCGACATTGTTTGGCCGACGGCACCTGGAGGAGCCCCTCTCTGTGGGAGCGTACTGGTCGGTGGGAGGCTGTTGATGGTAGTAGGCGGTCCCGTAAGTAACCAGGTCCCAAGCCATGGAGCGCTTTAAAGGTGGTAACCAGAACCTTGAAGCGCACCCGGAAGACCACCGGGAGCCAGTGCAGCTCGCGCAGGAGAGGTGTTACATGGGAGCTCCATGTTGCTCCCATAACCACCCGCGCGGCCGCACTCTGCGCCAGTTGGAGCCTCTGGGTGCACCTCAAGGGGAGTCCCATGTAGAGAGCATTACAATAGTCCAGACGAGAGGTGACGAGGGCATGAGTGACTGTGCGTAACGAGTCCCGATCTATAAAGGGACGCAACTGGTGAATCAGGCGAACCTGATGAAAAATCCTCCTGGTCACGGCCATCAAGTGCTCTTCTAAAGACAGCCGTGAGTCCAGGAGGACGCCCAAGTTACGAGCCCTTTCCGTGGGGGCCAATGATTCGCCCCCAATAGCCAGCGATGGCGCCAGCTGACTATATCGGGACGTCGGAAACCACAGCCACTCGGTCTTGGATGGGTTGAGCCTGAGCCCGTTTCTCCCCATCCAGATCCGTACGGCCTCCAGGCACTGGGACATCACTTCAAGGGCATCGTTGGGGTGGTCAATGATCAATGAGTCTTCCCAATGGTTACTATGGTTGATTTTAGAAGAATAACATCATATATTGAATATTAACTATGATATTTTATTTTTTTTCTGAAAAACACTTATGTGAGAGCAATAGAGCCTAAAAAAAAAGCTTAGTAGTTATTGAATAGTGTTTGATTGGGAGAGGATAATGAAAAAGATTTACTTCCTGGATTTCAGATTATAACATCAGTAATTTATTTCAAAGCATTACATCAGCAAATAGGGGACTCTAAGTGTACAAGTATTGTTTAATCCTTATCTTAGTTGAAGACATCTAAGATAAATATTTCCATTCCCATCAAAAAGTCCTGTTAACATTTATTATATACCTGAGATGTTCAAATGATTTATCTTACTGGGCCTTACCTTCCTTCAAATCACTCATGCTCAAAAGAAGAATTAGACTATAGATTATGGGGGCCCTAAAATGAAAGAGCAGATCTCTCACATCAGGTTTTAGCATATTCATATGTTGCCACATAAATCACATGTTTCTATGACTCTGAGAAGCCTTTTGCACCAGCATTTATTTTATTTTTCATACTTATATGCCGCCCTTCTCCCAAAGGACTCGGGGCAGCTCACAGAAATTAAAACAATAAAAACAATGAAATAGCTGCTAAAATAATCAATTAAAATCTCCCAATTAAAATCACCCATCAGATCAGCAAATTTGTTGGAAAAGCCATGTCTTCAGGTCACGGCGGAAAGAGCAGAGGTTGGGGGCCATCTGGAGCCCCGTGGGTAACCCATTCCAGAGCGTCGGTGCGCCCACAGAGAATGCCCTCATCCTGGGCGCCACCAGCCGACATTGTCTGGCCGATGGCACCCGGAGGAGGACAGTCCTATGTGAGCGCACAGGGCGGTGGGAGGCAGGCAAGAGGTGGTCCTGCAAGTACCCCTGGCCCATGCCATGTAGGGCTCTATAAGTAAGTACCAGCACTTTGGATCAAGAGTGTTCCAAGTTTCAACTGAAAAAAAAAACACGCAAGACACAATTCTGCAAATTCATATAGTTGATTCTGACCAATATTTGGGTCATAGTTAGGAAAATTATCCCAAATGATGTCTGGCCCCCAAACCCACCAAAATAATAGAATCAAACCTGGCCTATATGTGAAGCCCTTAACAAATTGATCTAGTCTACAGATGGGCCCTGCTGGGTTTACTTAGTAACTGTGGGGAACAATAGCACCCCCTAGAAATTCTGGACAATGGGGTCCTGATGTCATTTTAATTTCCCACAATGCTTCATATTAACTGTGGTTTCTTCATACATTTCATTAAACCATCTTGTGATTGACTTGGTTTTGGTTTAATGTTACATGCAAACTCGGGTAACTGTTCAGTCAGCAAATCACATGTTTGCATAACAATGTGAAATGAGCTTTAGGCAGGGGCAGTGCGATAAATTAACACTGTGATAAAGCTAGGTATCTAACTCTGCTTGGATTCTGGACCAGGCAGGCATGGAGTAGGCCTCTTCAGTGGCCTGTTCAGATTCTGAGATATTGGTTGTTGCCCAAGGATACTGGCTATTGACAGGAGCCTTCTCCGATCAATCCCGAATCCATAGAATATTAATACCAAAATGTATACATAAATTAGTGGCATTTTAACCATATCACAATACTGTACAGGTAAAGCCAAAACTATCTGCTAATATTAGGCAAATATACAAACAATCTATATGACATGAACTAGACTCTATTTAAATCAAGTATTTTATAATCAATGACTGGGTTTACAGTGACTCTAAGTCATATGACTTGCAGAAGTTTAGTCTTTCTAGTTTGCAAACAAGAATTTATGGATTGGTGTGAACAGGTCATCACTCAGTAGAATATATGAACCTAATCAGTATCAAGACCATTTTCCAAACTATACTTCACTCCTGCTGTCTTCTTCATCACCCAACCACCACCCTGTAATTGAAGCTGCATTTGAATGTTCCACATCCTATGTCAACATTATCCCATTTCACAAGTGCTCTTGAAAGGGACTTATATATACAAGGGGCATCAGACTCATTTCCAAGAAATGGAAACACATTTCCAAAGAATATCGAACACAGACTCATTTCCAAGAAAATATGAGGAGTCGAACAAAAAGCTCTTAGCACATACATATATCTAACAAAAGGCTTTTATTTTAGTTTTCAGCCTGCTACCTGCTTCTCCAGAAATTTAGTGTCTATAAGGAAGAACTGAGGGATGCAGTGGCTCAGTGACTAAGACGCTGAGCTTGTCAATCAAAAGATCTGTCGTTCAGTGGTTCGAATCCCTAGTGCCGCATAACGGAGTGAGCTCCCATTACTTGTCCCAGCTTCTGTCAACCTAGCAGTTCAAAAGCACATAAAAAATTCTGTTTTAAAAATAAATTAAAAAAAAATTCAAAAAAAAAAAAGCACGTAAAAAATGCAAGTAGAAAAATAGGGACCACCTTTGATGAGAAGGTAACAGCGTTCCGTGCACCTTTGGCATTTAGTCATGCTGGCCACATGACCACAGAGATGTCTTTGGACAGTGCTGGCTCTTCGGCTTTGAAACAGAGATGAGCACCACCCCCTAGAGTCGGGAACGACTAGCACATATGTGCAAGGGGAACCTTTACCTTTACCTAAGGAAGGACTGTATGTATGAATAAATTCTAGTACACATGCAAACAAACATGAATCCCAGAGGTTAAGCCATTGTTATCTTCCAACCCAAATATTTCTGAATGTGTTTGAGTTGCTGTTATTCCAAAATTATACCTTTATCTACAGAGAGATAAAGTATTTTAATAAGCATTCTTAAATTTTAAAAAAGGAAACTATTATGGTCAGTTTACCAGTACACCCTTTTCTGGAGACAATGCAAGCTATCTTAACCATTTATAGAGTAAATGATACAGCCTGTAGTTAGCAGAGAAGAGCTCTCAGTCATATATAATTAGGGAATGGAGGAGACAATCGGGCAGCAATCCCAAATTTACAAAAATCTCCACTGTCTACCGTATGTGGGCCTGTTTTAGGCGAAGGCTGTTTTAATGGCCCTTGAACCAGACTGCAAAACCCATTCCCCATGGATGTCCTGCCCCAAATGTCTTATAGTTTGAATGGAAAACCTCCCTTCTCGTATTTTATCCATGCCTTTTGCCTACCGATAAATCAGACTGTTGTGTTGTTATATTATGTTTTTTTTTTATTGTTGCTGTTAGCTGCCCAGAGTTATGTTTCACAATGGGGTGGATATATATATCTTTTAACATAAAGCTCAGTGAGATTTACTTCTGTGTACAGACTCTATACTGCTAAGGAGTCCAAAAGATATTTAAACCAGAAAATGAGGTTAGTAGTTTCTAGGATCTTCCTGCCTTTTTGTATAGGGATAACAGCCAACTAAGCAGCAATCTGTATAGTGCTCATTGAGCGCTATATAAGTATAAGTATATTGAATATAAGTATATTGAGTTGTGAAGTTCCCCAAGTGGGTTTTAGTTGTGGGTACTAATGTTTGGGGCTCCCAGCTCATTTTCCCGCTCTCTTCGTTAATGTTGTAAGCGTTTTAATTTTAACAACTTCTACTTCTGGTAGGGAGCACAAGGACAGCCTCCAGAATCATCTTGCTTTCTAAGAACACCTTGATGCCACATAATTCCCTTAAGGTTTGCAAAAAGAAAATGAAGCACAGTCAAAAGTTGCCGGCTAGTTCTTTGCTTGTAAATTTTTTCTCATCAATCTAGAAAAAATAAAAATGAACTGGGGGTTAAGAGCAAGTATTTTGGGGCCACTGCACTTGCCAGTTTTTCTTTTGGGAATGTGGTATTTTGTGATTGGTCATAATAGCTATGGCAACTTTTAAGTTAATTGGTCATCCCCTCCTCACGGCAACTATTTTCTCTCAAAACATCAACTGAGTCCTAAACTAGGCGGACCTCTGATTTTTGCTCATAAGATTATATCCGTTCATGGAGATCAGTGATCTGTGAGACTCTGACTAAACACGAGACCTTTGGACATTTAATTTCCATGAATTTCTTCCCAGGACAATATAGCTTGTAGGAAGGTAAAGGTTGTTTGCCCCTTCTCCCATTTTCCAGAACTTGACAGTTGAGGTTGTGAACTTGAGAGTACTGTAAAGAGAAACCTATTCAGAAAAAAAGTTGCCACGTTTTGTATTGGTGACTAAAACCTAAGCTGACAAAACAGGTCTGCCTGCTGGTATTATTCACTTGCCTGTGCATGTATGAGAGAACACTGTGGCCGCACAACTTTGCCTTAAACCTGGGTACCTGCATTAATCTAGATTAAAATTAATTATATTGACCTACTTGAAAATCGCCAAAAGGTCAGATCCCTGCGAGACAGAATATGGGGCCTTCCAATGAACATTAACTAGGAAATACTTTTACAATAGAAATGGATTGTTTATGGAGACTGTAGTCACTTGCAGCTGAATTTAGAACAAATTTATTTCAAATGCTAAAATGTATTTGCTTTAAATATCTAAGAATAGACTAAGTTAATAGTGTTATTGGTTTCGTTGCCTGTCAGCATAGTTTGAACGCAGAAAATGTCATATTGGGCTAAAAAGGTAAAAATTAGGAAAATTGGGTGTAATATAGTTTTTCAAAGCTTTATTTAAAATTATTATTTAGACCAGAGGTCCCCAAACTCCTCAACTCATTGACCCATTCATGAAATTTCATTGGCCCCCAAACATTTATTAGATGACAAGAATTTAATAAGTATTATTTTAATAGTACTACAAATAACAACAACAACAACAGCAATATTGACCTCTTGATAATCCCATCAACCCTTGGAGACCAATACTGACCACTTTGGAGAATATTGATTTAGACTGTTCAGTTTCTGTATTTATATCTGTGATTGTACCAGTTTCTCCATTTAACATAATAGAAGTACATGGAAGTTTTCAAATTTCAGAAAAGAGTGTTGAGTATTAAATAGAATTAAACTCTTATATCTATCTATCTATCTATCTATCTATCTATCTATCTATCTATCTATCTATCTTCTATCTATCTTCTATCTATCTATCTATCATCCACCCACCCACCCATCCATCCGATTTATGGAGCTGCCCATTTCATAGCAGCAAATCTGGATACAAGCGACAGAATGTGACTCCTTATTTACAATCCAATATAAAACAGATTACTATCATATTTTGCTCACTGTCCAGTAAGCTTCAACCCTTTGGAAAAGATGTGATGGGGGAGCTTTTTCCTTTTTTCTTCCTAGCTGTTCAATTTTTTCCTTTTTTCACATTCCATCTTCTGTATTGTTCTTTGGATTTCACATTCAGAAGCCTTTCTTATCTTTAACAGCAGACCTTGTGGCTTAGTCACACCAACAAACTGGAACAAGAATTACCACATTGTGTTTGAGAGTAGTTGTTTTCCAGTTAGAAACAAGATCCATTAATTAAGAGGGAGAGAAATTTTCTTAGGAATGAAAATCAGACTTCGACTGATTTAGCCAGACAAGTAGAAACATAGAAAGTATCTGTTTTTAGACATGTGTGTACAATACGAGAAACACTCTTTTATGTAAAGCTAGCATTCAGTTTATATAGAATGCTTTATTGGATTGTTCTCTCTGTGTGCGTGTTTGTATGTGTTACTGTACAAATTCATGGTGTGACTCATATTTCATGCGTTTTTTAAAACTGGAATTTTCAAGTTTTGAACTCTTAACTAGAACTCTCTCTTTTTCATTGCAGTAGTATTTACTACAATCAAATCAACATTATTCAGTTTGTGAGTCTGTGGTGTTGTTTGGACTTCGCAAACAAGGGAGTGTGTGAGTCATGTTGATTCTGAAGTCATGTCCTGCTTTCACTTCCCAAAACTCATGAAGCATGCAGAAGAAAATTAAAAAATGGTGGGTGGCTTAAAGAATTCCTTTCCATCCTGCCCTTTCCTGGACCACAGACTCCTTTTATGAGAAGGTGCTTTTTCTAGCACAGGTGACATCATGACAGATTTTTTTTTCTTGTGATTTGAATAAAATGTCCTTTATTCAGTAAAAACGGTTACATTTTCAAACAATCTTTCTTGGCTCACATTCCTTTTTATTCTTCAGGCCTTAACCCTGATGGCTTATAACTTGTTCAGAGAAATAAAAGATTGTACTCCTTTTTGTAGTATATGAAGTTCTAATTGTACCAGCTTTAATTTCAAATCAACTTTGTGATTCTTTGCCATACTTTGCTGGTTGGCCTGTAGGTAAGGAACATACACCTGTTTTGATTGAGGATAGAAAACTAAGGGCACTTTCTCTGGTCCTTTAAAAATGAAGCATATATGGAATATAGGTTGCACGAGGGCGACTGACATTTATTTCTTGTTCCTCAAAACTTATTATCTGTATTTATGATCTTGTTCAATCAATGGGCTTTACAAAGTACTTAACTTTAGCTTAAGTTCCATGTTTGCTCTCAGTGTTATCCTCGCATCAACTTGAATGATTCACCACCAGTCCTTTCTTAATCTATCCACTTGCCACTAACAGAAAGGTAGCCTCAACTTAGATTAGTAAATGGCTAGCTAAATCTGGGCTGAGATTTAAAAGCTTTATAATACCTATATACTCTGTGTGTGTATATATGTGTGTGTATGTATGTATGCGTGTACACACACACAAATATATATTCACTGAAAAAAGTGATTTATGACCATTTTTCACAGTCATGACGTTTGCAACATTCCCATAATCATATGCACAAAATTCAGATGCTTGGCAACTAGTTCCCATTTATGGCGGTTGCAGTGTCCAAAGATCATGTGATGCCCTTTCGCGATCTTCTGACAAGCAAAGTCAATGGGGAAGCCAAATTCAGTTAATAACGAGGCTACTAACTTATCAACTGCAGTGATTCACTTAACAATTGAGGCAAGGAAGGTTGTAAAATGGGGCAAAACTCACTTAACAAATGTCTCACTTAACAATAGAAATTTTGGGCTCAATTGTGGTTGTAAGTTGAGGAGTGTGTGTGTGTGTATGTGTGTGTAAAGAGAGCTGAGTTTTGCCAGCTGTGTCTTGTTGGTTCTGTCAACATTGTGGGCTTCACACATTTTCTATTGTTTCTGCCAAAAAGGGTCTTGTGTTTTTGTAATTTTTCCCCCTGCTTTTATTAATATTTATCTATTATGCCACTCAAACATTTCTTATAGTTCATTCTGGCTCTAGGGACATCTGTGGGCTACTTCCAAATACTACCATGCACAAGGTTAGAACAGGACATGATACTAGCCTAGGCAATTTGTTTGCCACACTAGATAAGGACAGAACTTGCTCATCATTAATTGCCTCCTTTTTGCTCAACCACACAACGTTCCTCTGTGTATGTACCCTGACAGATGGAGTATTTTGAATATGAGTTTAGTGGCCTTTCAGTAGAGGTTTTAGTTGGACATTTTGACAGCAGCTAAACATTGTTCCAAGTACTCACTTGTGTTCGTTTTCAGGACAGTAATTGGTGACTGTTTCCCCCCAGAAAGTAACTCCTGGTGGAAGGGGAAACCATCAATTGCTTTCCTTAACTTGTCTTGCTTTAAAATAATAAAGGTAGCATCAGTTGCCATGTTTCTTACTGTAACAAAAATAATGTAGTGTCAGCAATACACTTTATACTAGTATACTTTTCTATCAGCTCAAAGACTAATGGACAGTTCTTTCACATGGCCATCTAGTTTGGACCAAAAATACTGCTAACTAAAAAGAGCTATATGAGAAAGTTATCGTTCACTGAATCAGAGCATTATTTAATCTACCCCAATTTTTTGTGCATTGTGGCTTCCCACAGGTTTTCTCAGCCTTGTAGGGAGAGATGCCAAAAATTAAGGCTGGGATTTTCTGCATGCAAATGCTCTCTACCTGAGCTCTGATGCTTCCTATATAACAAAACAATCTCTTTATGATATCTACACTTGTTCTCCTTGCTAGGTGCGAGTCATTTTATACATTCTTTAATGAAATGTTGGATATTTTGTCAGTACTACAATATATTCCCCAGAGCAAGTGCAGTTGAAAGACCTGAGTGATCCATAATTATGTTTTACTATTGAGGTTCCTAGTTTATAGCAGCTATGGAGTGACTGCTAAATGAATAAAGGGGAGTGGTCTTTATAAGAGGCATTTGTTGCAGCAAAGAAATGATGGTAGAATAAAAAAAGGAAAAAAGAAAAACTGAACATGAAGCTAACTGTATTAGATAATTCAAGATTTTTGAATGAATAATAGTACTGCAGTATCAGGTATTCCTAGAAAATTATTGACTCTATTCATAGTGAACCCTCATATGGATTAAATAGCCTTATAAAGTAGTTGTCTCTAGGATTGCTAGGAAGTACAGTTAGATAGCTGATGCCAGGTGCTGACTGGGGCCAATTATATAATACATAATTGTTCCTTTCCAGACCACTCTGTCCTCCCAATATGCAAAATATGTTGGATGGAGAGAGCTTTTCTTAAAGGAAAGTTTAATTTATCTCATTTCCACCTAAGCAAAACTGGAGTTGTCCAGAATTCAGCTGCCATGGTATAATTCTGTGTCAATTTTCACATTCTTTTTATTGCTGTGTTTTACATACATTGATGTTATATTCTGATACATTTCATTGATTGATTCATTAGGTACCATCAAATTGTTGACTGTCTGCAACCACAAAGATTTTTTCTCTCTGTCAATTTGTCCCTTTCAGATTCACCACTCTGAATCCATTCACCTTGCTGCTGCTTCTCTTTCCTTCCATCTTTCCTAGCATTATAATCTTCTCCAGAAGGGTAGTCTTTCAGGCAGATGATATGATTAGAAGTTAGATAGAAAAGAAAGAAAAAGCTTTTGAATATAGAGTGATATGATTAAAAGCTAAGTAAGAGATAGAAATAAAGGAAATATTAATGTATTACATTTTTAGTTGACAAAATGGAAGTAATAAAGAGAAATAGGTGGAATAATTGAATAATGATAGATTGTAACCTAAGATAAATGTGTATTGTAATGGGAATTTCATAAATTGATTGTATGTAATAATAATCCTTAATTTGATCAGTTGTGTTTGTGTTGGAATGTATGGTGCCCAGATGCCACATTGTTCACACATTGATTTGATGTTTTTTTTAAAAAATAAAAAAATAAAAAATTTTAAAATCAGAAAGGTAGTCTTTGCATACAGCTAGTTCTTACTTAGTGGCTGCCTCCTTTAGTAACTATTTGCAGTGATGGTGGTGAAGAAGTACAACCAATGCTCACATTTATGACTTTCGCAGGTCCATAAAGCAAAGGAATTCTGAAGTATGATCATAAACACAGTTATGCTTTCACTTAGCTTTATGACCAACTTGTTGGTTCCAATTGTGATGGCTAAATGAGGACTATTTCTAATGTATCTGCAGAAGGATAATTTAAGCCTGATACATTTCATTATGTTTATTTTATTATCACTAACTTCTTTGTAAACCTCCTTGTAGAAAATGAAGATGTAAACAAAGAAAGGAAGGAAAAATGCTTCTCAAGCTTCCTGCTGGGACAAATATTACTTTCTTCTCCATAACAAAAGGGCAGAACTAAGCCTCATTCACTCTCAGGAAATCTTACTAGATTACAGCTTTTAATATATGTATTGCTCTTAAATCAATCTTCCTAATTTTATATAGCCATGCTAGTTACGGATGGTAGGAGTTGAAGAGACCCAAGTATGTGTAAGTATATAGTAAGTAAACTGTTTTGTTTTAACATTCTTCTGCCTTGTAGAAATTGCTTCATCCCTTCTTTAGGCCTGTTGAACTTGTTTGCTCATGGATGTTGCCCTAAGTGATTTGATTCTCATTGGCATGGCTTTGTAAGCTTGCTAGTCTCTGGCACAGTGCATGCATTTCACAGCCTTTTGCTGGTAGAGTGTCTTTCATCTCCAATCGCCATCAGCAAATGTTTCCACGCCCTCTAAATCTTTGGAAAGGGCATGATGTTTTGATGCAGCTCTGAGGCTTCTCTGAAACAGCCACATCAACATTGTCTCCCCTTGCTGTTCCTCTTAGATAATAGTGCTTATTGCATGCACTGTAGGAAAAAGAGAAGTTGGGGAATCTGTGTGTGAAGGAAAAACTGTCTCATTGACTTCTGTAGAATCTTCTTTGGACACATATTTCTCTTTGGGGGTAATCTGTCAAAAAGGCCACCGTACCAGAAGTTCAGCAAGTCAGGTATCAGGGGAAAAAAAACTTTCTCAGTGCATTATTGTCAAGATGGAATGATAACAAGACTGATCCATATGACTAGCTTGTCCCAGAATAAGAACCAGCCTCACTACCCATTCCTTGAGATCAGAAAAGGAACCAGTTGTACAAAGTTCAGAAGGATCAGAAATGCACAAGATCATCTTCTACCTGATCCCCACCCCCGCCCACTGGAAGTCAACCTCCACCTGCCTTTTTCTGCCTTGTATCAAAAGTCATATTTTCTGACTTGGGCCAGCTCAAGTCTTGCTGTCAGTTTTGCTTGCTGCACTTGAGTTCATGGTAGACAACCCTCTACACTCCAACTGCCAACAGTTCGCTGTGAAATAGATATCCCATCTAGCCCTCAAATGGTAAAGCTGTTAAATCAGTCTAGGAGGGATGAAGAAGCAGAAGAGTCCAACATTCGGAGTCCATGGTGAAAATGGTGTGGGCAGAAGATGAGGCCATCACTGTGGCCAGACTGGAAGAACGGAATGAAATCCAGGAAGGGCTTTCTTAAACCAGCTTAATTTGCAACTAGTATACAACTAGTTCCACATAGAAGTGAAGCAGCGGTGAAATCTGGCCAGATCTATCCGGCTTGCGCAAACTGGTAGGGCCGGCGGTGGGAGGCTCCGCCCACCCGCCAGGATGTCATTACATCCCATTTTTTACCTCTGCCCATGCGCAGAAAGCTGTGCACATGTGCAGAAGGCTGTGTGCATGTGCAGAAGAGGAATGCGCGAGCGTAGTGAGTGAGTGCATGCTCACATTTTCGAACCGGTAGTGAAGGTAAGTGCATTTCACCACTGA